ACGTCTTCTTCGTTGAAGGACCGAAAGTTTTATTCCAAATAGGACTCGCCATCTTGAGAATCAATGGCGAGGAGCTTTTAGATGCCACAGATGACGGCGCCTTCATCTCCATTCTCAAGGGCTACTTTGCTCGTCTCGACGAGTCGGCACATCCCAAGTCGGAGAACCCGAAGCTCCGCGCTGTAACCAAGTTCCAAGAGTTGATGGTGGTGGCGTTCAAAGAATTTTCAGGAATCACCCACAGCAGCATTACAGACCTGCGGTTGAAGAACAAGGATGCCGTGCTTAGCAACATTGAGAGTTTTGCAAAGAGGACGGCTCTGCGAAACTTGGGCCCCGACAGCAAGCTCCTTGCCGCGGAGGAGCTAGGCGCCTTATACGATCGCTTCTATACAATCTTGTACGAGAGACAACAGCGAGAGAGCATTATTCAGCAGGAAAAACAGCGTCGTGCAAAGAACGCACGGCCTAGAGCGCGAGATGTGTTTGAACCCAATGACGAACACGTCGAAAAGGGACGAGTAGCCCTTGGTGCCAGCACCAGTCTGATGGACTACGATGCATTTAGAGAATTCCTCGCCAACATGGCAAAGTGGGCCATGTCCGACTCACCTACAACACCGCGCCGCGATACATTCGCCGATAAGGACAGAAACGCCTACACAAGCCGTCGCCAAAATAACGGTCTCCTTTCCCCATGGGGCTCAGGTCCAGAACCTGCCGACCATGAGTTCATGCAGCAGCTGTTCAAGAAATGGGATGTCAGCGGTACCGGCGCGTTGACTCTAGCTGATGTTGTGTCAGGCTTTGCGAGAATCAAGGGCAAGAAGGACATCATGGGAACCATTACGTATTTCTTTGAGCTCTACGACGATGATGGCGACGGCAAAGTTGACCGCGAGGGTATTCTGCGCATTTCCGAAGCCCTCCTCTTCTTGTCAAGAAGAGGACTCGAGGGCACATTGAGCCCAAGTGCTTCTACGCTCACGCTCAGCACGCCGACAGGCCAAGGCAGTGAGCCAAGCTTGCCTGGTATCTCAACCAACGAAAGATTCTTAGGCAGCGTCAGCGCGTTCATAAGAAGATGCTTCGAATACGCCGACCCGGACCACCCGAACAACAAAATCCACGAAGAAGAAGAAGAAGAGATCAAGTCCGCGGACAACAGCAAGGCTTTTGCCATCGGTGACGACGACGACGATGAAGAAGACCTCCTTGCCATGGATTCACCGCCTGGTAGCCCAAGCAAGGCGAAGAAATCGTCGTCCGAGTCACTATCATCACCAGCTGAAGACAAGCCTCCCGTCGCAGGTCGGTCACAGCGACGTGTCTCCAAAGCGCAGTCAGAAGCGGCGAACGCTGCTCTGGACCCAGCGAACCCTCTACACATGACACTCCCAACGTTCCGCATGGTTGTTCTCGCCGACGAACTTCTCGAGCAATTCTTCGAGTCGTCTTTCCCCGCCTCGTTCCACCTCATCGAGGGCCTACCAACGGTGTCTACACCCACTTCGACCCTCACTACCTTTTCCAGTCTTAACTTTGGACGTGCACCCGTCGCACCTCTCAATCCTGCAGCTCAAGGGGCCACTCGTGGCTTACGTGGCGTGTTGGACAATATCGTCACGGACGGAATGCGTGTCGCTGCAGAAGTTCGTCGGAGGATGGAAGAGGCTCAAAAGGAGTTGGAGAAGAACGCTGTGCCGGGACAAAGAGAAGAAGACGAGGAGGACGATGCGGACATTGGAGTCGAAATCGGCATCAGAAAGGGAACGGCCGGCGGAAGCGCGGATATCGAGAGACGTAGTGTGCGGAGCGAAGACCGTGACCTGCTCGACGGGGCAGACGCCGAGGCCGGTGCCAACGGTGGCGGCAAGGAAGGCCAACTGGTGGACATTGAGCCCACAAACCGGAGCGAGACGAATGCCAAGGGTGTTGTTGAATTTGAGGGCTGATCGACGTACTTACGCACGCAAGCACCGCTTGCGCGACCCGTTGAGGATACGGCAAGGAGGTGGACATGGCCAGACCCCACATGACGGTTTCGAGGCAGGCAAGGAGCGGCAGTTGTCCGGAAGCTTTGGGAGGAATGCAGTGGAAATGAGGGAGGACGGATGCGGTACGAAGTCGCCCTGTAGCGAAGTGGATGGACGGGTGATGGTTTCCCTCTGGTTGTGGTAGAAGGTATTTGTGGGGATCAGGACTATACCTGTCGACGTCTTATCACGGGATCATGTTTGGGATTGTATTGCCTCTGCGGCTAGAAGACATGGTCACTCAAATATAAGATGTTGTCCATTGAAGGCCCGGCGGTGTCAGTGCGTCCAAGTGGTTTGTTCGGCATGAAGAGCACGCCCGTGTGCAGCGCGCCTGTTCAGACCTGATGACAAGCCATCGCCGACTGAGCAGCATATCGCCGCAAGCCATGGTTGTTGATACTGACGGAATTTCTAGACGCGTTCGACCTCGTAGCTTAGGTACGTAGTGCGATTATGGGAGCCGTCGCCCTTGCTTGATTTCGAAGCCGACGGTCATCGATGAAGGGTCTGGCACGGAATCGAGGAGAGCCCTACAGAAGCTTACAGCAAAAGCAGATGAGAAAGGCTGATCCGCAACGCCATCTGCATGGCTCGGGAGGCACTAGAGTTTGGTATAAAGTTTGTCGTGGGAAGTTCGCCATCGTTTGCAACCAAACTTGAGCACTAAGGGGCGGTGGCAACGTGGGGCTCTTATGCATCATCGATATCAGCCAGCCAGCCAGCCTTGGAGAGGGCATCTTGGACGACAGAGACGGGCGGCACTTGGCTTGCTGCCTTTGCCGATGGGATGGGAAAGAAGGGCAGGTCAGTGTTGTTATGTCTTGACAGTGATATTTGCGTGGAGAGGCTAACGATGCCCCGAATAGCGTGAGGGAGAGCGCGTTTCCAAGGAGGAGGAAGCAACCGAAGCAACGTGGCTTACGCAGGGAGAGGACGGGGCATGTAGTCCCTCCTCCTGTTCTTGCCCTTGGCGGCTTGGCCAGGAGCTGCCCAGGAGCTGCCGAGGGTAGGCACACGAAGCACATCACAAAGTAAGGTAGCAGGAGCTGGAGCAGTGGCATGTAAGGTGCCTTAGGTAAGGCAAGTTGGAATGATGCCACTGGACCCTTTCTTTCCCTCTTGGCCTCAAACGGGCAGATGCGCCCTCAGCTCCCACCACTTTTCTACGTCTCTCGTACACATCCCTCGACTGGCCGCCACCCCAGCAGCGTCACTCCACATTCCACCACCTCGACGCCTCGCATTTCCTCGGTCGGCGATTTCCCAGGAGCCTGGAATTTCCCGACTCATGGTATGCCGGCCGGCGTGCCCTCGTACGTTCCGTCGTTTGCTTCCGTTTTCAAGTTTATTTTCGCGTGTCACGACCTCCACTTTCGCCCACTCTGCACGACATGGCCACATGTTTGTGTAACCCTGGTACACTTTCTTGGGCCACGAACCCATGTCGTCCGGTCGAATAAGCGTTGGTTCAGGCATTCGGAGGCCGTTGGTTGCACAGGGACAACGACTATCACCCAATATGAGTGCCGCGCTGAAGTTTTCTCGTTCAGTCAGACCTTTCCGCTCATATTCATGAGAGACACTGGTGCCTCTTTTCTCTGAGCAAGTATCGATACGCTCACACTGTCCACGCAAACACACCATACAGACTTGTACGCTCGTCAGTGGGTTATCTACTCTTTGGCCCACGGCGAACTGTGTGAGCACGTAATGCATGCATCGAACGTCAGGCCACTATTCCCGCTCCGTCCCTCGATCAACGATAGCTCGTCCCCCCTTCTGCATTCCACATATTGCATAGCTGAGCTTCTGGTCTCGCGCTTCTGTGTTTCTTCCCGCCGTCGCACAAGAACGGAGAGGAAAGTATGGCAGCGGCCGGCATTCTCTCAGTTGTCCCACACATTTTGCCTTCCACACCAACGACAAGTCCTATCAACGGGGCCCGGGTTTAGGCTAGGCTAGGAGGCCATCGCCGTTCTCGAAAACGTGCTTTGCATCATTGCAACAAGCGGCTCACGTTTAATTGTCTGAATTCAGCCGCAGGAGAATCCCCGCTACGGCGAGGAGGAAAAAATGATGGATGGAAATGTGTAAAGTGGCCACGGCTCTTGCGAGACATCGCCAGACCATCCGGTTTCCTGGCTCCAGGACCCATTGCTCGCCAACGCCCCTTCGCCCTTTTGTCTCTCCTCCGTTTCGACTCCGGAGTGGGAGTGGTGGCCGTCCGAGATGGAAGCCAGCCCAGACATCCACATACGTCGGCCGAGTACTGCGTGGGAGGAATGACTGGCGTTCAGGAGAAAAGCGTCGCACACGGCTGGACTTGAGAATCGTCATTTCACGCATTCCAGATTCCTGGGACGAGCCTATGCTCTCACCCAGCAGCCCTAAGGTGGAAGGGAGGCGGGAGATACAATGCCATCCATGTTGATGGAAGAGGGCAAGAGGCGACAGGGCCGGCATTCTTTGCCCACACGACGAGAAGCTTTCAAATACGGCCATGATTCTCCCCCAAAAGTGCCCGGTTTCCTGTCTCTTCCCTCACTGTACTTCGACTCACACTCGCTTCTCCTTTTCGTCCGTCTTACCTGGCCTTCCCGGGGCAAGTTGGGCAGTCATTCGTTCCTGTAGCTTGGTTCTTGCTCGCGCTCTTCACTCGTTAGGGTGATCGACCTCCCTTTGGCCTCAATACCCCTCTCTCCTCTCCAGCCTTGACTTTGCTTTTTGGCTCGCTGGTTCTCACCAGGGTTGTTCTTTGAAGAATACCGACAAGATGGGTTGGACGAAGCAGGCGGCCATATTGGCCGCAGTGTCCCTGGCCGGCATTGGTCATGCGCTTGACGCCGCTCCGGCTGGTAGTTGTTTCGCCCCAGGGTCGTTAACCACCAAAAGCGAGGTCATTACACTCATGACCCAGGAGAAGTGTAACACTTTCTGTCAGGGGAGCACCGTCTTCGGTATCTACGAGTCCGATGATAGTGCTAGCCCTGTGGAGTACACCTGTTCCTGCGGTGGAACCCCCCAAGGAGTTTCCTCTATCGCCGAAAGCAACTGCGACACGGCCTGCCCTGGTGATGGGTCTGGCACTGAAAACTGCGGTGGTACAGCTGGTGAAATCCACTTCAACGTCCAAGCCATTGCCACCACCACCACCTCGACGACCTCAACTTCCTCTTCCACTTCCTCGGACACCTCAAGCCAGTCGACCACGACTGATACCTCTACTACGTCGATCTCTACGACTTCGACGTCTTCTAGCAGCGAAACGTCTAGCACGGAAACGTCTAGTACCGACACCTCAAGCCAGTCGACCACGACTGATACCTCTACTACATCGATCTCTACGACTACAACATCTTCTTCTAGCAGCGAAACGACTAGTACCGACACGTCTAGTACCGACACGTCTAGTACCGACACGTCTAGTACCGACACGTCTAGTACCGACACCTCAAGCCAGTCGACCACGACTGATACCTCTACTACATCGATCTCTACGACTACAACATCTTCTTCTAGCAGCGAAACGACTAGTAGCGAAACGTCTAGTACCGACACGTCTAGTACCGACACGTCTAGTACCGACACATCCAGCAGCTCCGCGACCACTGCTAGCCCGACGTCAGTCTCTACGACCACAACGTCTTCTTCCAGCAGTGAAACGTCTAGTAGTGAGACGTCTAGTAGTGAGACGTCTAGTACAGAGACGTCTAGTACCGACACGTCAAGCAGCTCCAGCAGCTCTGAGACCACTACTAGCCCGACGTCAGTCTCTACGACTACAACGTCTTCTTCCAGCAGTGAAACGTCTAGTACAGAGACGTCTAGTACCGACACGTCCAGCAGCTCTGCGGCCACTACTAGCCCGACGTCGGTCTCTACGACTACAACGTCTTCCTCTAGCAGTGAAACGTCTAGTACAGACACGTTCAGCAGCTCCAGCAGCTCTGCTGCCACTACTAGCCCGACGTCGATCTCCACTACTTCAACGTCTTCTTCTAGCAGCGAAACGTCTAGTAGCGAAACGTCTAGTACCGACACATCCAGCAGCTCCAGCAGCTCTGCAGCCACTACTACCCCGACGTCGACCTCCTCTTCGTCCTCTAGCATTTCCAGCAGTGACACCTCGAGCCAACCCACCACAAGCATTTCATCGTCCTCATCCAGCAGCTCAAGTAGCTCAAGCATCTCTAGCAGCGATTCTTCCAGCCAGTCGACCACGACTGCCTCGCCTACGAGCAGTGGCAGCTCCAGCTCCAGCTCCACTACTTCGCCTTCAAGCAGCGGAAGCACCACCTCCACCGGCTCCTCTGCCTCTTCAAGCTCTAGTAGTTCCCAGAGTGACACCTCCAGCCCCTCCACGAGCACCTCCACCGAAACTTCTTCCTCAGCTGAACCCAGCTCCACGTCTGCTACAGCAAGCACCAGTGGCTCTTCCAGCAGCCCGGTGTCGTCATCGACTACCGCTGCCGATACCTCAAGTTCCGCTTCTACCACTGCAGCTGGTTCTAGCACGTCAACCACTGCCCCCGTTACCACTACGGCGTCGTCCTCAGTTGGTTCCTCTATCAGCTCCTCCAGCTCAGTCGTTTCTGATGCCAGCTCATCCTCTTCGGTTGCCTCTGTCGCAAGCTCTTCTTCTGCTGCCGTTGACAGCTCTTCCTCTGCTACCGTGGTCAGCTCATCCGAGACACCTGTCGCCAGCTCTTCGAGCTCGGTTGCCCCTGTTTCCAGCTCATCTGCGGCATCTGTTGCTAGCTCTTCAAGCTCGGCTGCGCCTGTTGCCAGCTCAGCTTCTTCGTCTGCAGCTGCTCCCTCCACTACTTTTGTTCCTTCCTCATCGAATGTCGCTTCATCTTCTGCCCCGGCTACGACTGCGGCTCCGTCGGCTTCGTCCATCGCTGTTCTCAGCCCCAACCCGGTGCCTTTCTCCAAGGCCCTTGAGATCCAGCCTGGTGAAGCCGTTGTTGTTGAGCTTTCGAACACTAGTGGTAACCAGGAGACTTATGTTGTTCAGTCACAGGGCTGCAGAGGTGTTCCCGCTGGACAGTCGCCTTTCGAGGGCACCGTCAACCCTCCCAATGCCGGTACCGCACCTACCTGCGCGGTTGCTTGTGCTTCCCAGGGACTGCCGCTCACCACCGTCATCAGAGGCAACTGCTTCTGCGGTTCTGTTCTCAGGAGTCTGCCTCTTATCCCCGCGGAGCAATGCGCTTCTGCTGCGAGCATGCGTCGTCGCAGCTTCTTCAGACGCCAGGCTGGCACTGTTGACCCGGCTACGATTCTGAGCGTGACCCCTGCAAACCAGGTTACCCTCGCTGCTGCCTCGACTACCTTGAGCTCATCCAGCATTGCTTCTCTCCCTGTCAATACGGACACAAACCTCGTCTTCAGCCCTACCAACACTGGAACCTCTGTTGCAAGTGTCGCCTCAACCTCTGGAACTTCCACCGGAACCTCTACTGGCGCTTCCACCGGAACTTCTACTGGAACTTCCACCAGAACTTCTACTAGCTCCTCCACTGGCTCTTCCACTGGTTCTTCCACTGGTTCTTCCACTGGTTCTTCCACTGGCTCTTCCACTGGCTCTTCCACTGGCACTGCTTCTGGCACCACCTCCGGAACGCCCTCTGGCTCCACCCCCAGCTCCGGCTCCAGCTCTGTCACTAGCGCCGCAGCCTCTGCGACTGACTTCATTCTCGCCATCGTGGGCGGAAGGGCACCTACCAGCACCGGCAGCTCTCTGAGCTCTTCCAGCACCGCTCTCTCGTCGTCGAGCTCGTCTACTAGCAGCAGCAGAAGTTCCACTGGCTCAAGCTCTTCTGGAACCAGCTCTTCTAGCACTACTTCCAGCAGCTCGTCCTCCGGCTCGACAACACCCGGCTCGACTACCACCAGCACCACTTCTGGCAGCTCTTCCTCGGGTAGCACATCCTCGGGCACGACCTCTTCTGGAACTTCGTCCAGTTCTTCCGGGACTACCTCCCCGTCCCCGTCCAGTAGCAGCAGCTCGTCCAGCTTCTCATCCTCCAGCTCTTCCACCTCGTCTAGCTCCAGCAGCAACGGTACCTCTATACTCACCCTGAAGAAGCGCTCCATGCCTCTGATGGCGCGCCAGAATGGCGCCACCACCTATGTCGGTACCACTGGACAGACCAACCCTACCAACTGCAACCAGGCTTCTATCTTCAGAATCGGCTCTTCTGGCACCTTAACTGTTGATGGTGTTGCTCTCGGTGTCAACCCCGGTACTCCTTATATTGCTCTACGTGCTGGCAGCACCGGATCGATCACTGCTACCTTCACCAATACCAATGGCAACTTCGCATGGACCAACGGAGCTTTCTTTAACAACCAGGCTGGTTTCTGCCAGGACAACAGCGGTCAAGTTTACGCCACTTTCCTGAACCCCGCCGTTGCTGGTAACGTCCCGGCTGGCTGCACTGCGATCTCCTTGAGCGCCACTCCTCGTAAGTAAAGCCTCATATAGTTATCAATCTCGCTGTTAACACCTTCTCCTAGGCTCTTCCTGTTCGGCAAGCGGCACCACTACCAGTCTTCCCACAACCCTGCCTACTACTGCCGCCACCAACTCGGCAACCACCACTGCCAGCTCTGTCCCAAGCATCTCTACCCTCAGCCCTGGATCGACCGCCACCTCCAGCCCGACCACCACCGCTCCTACTGTTACCGGTGGCTCTACCATCATCAGCGGTGGCTCAACTTTCGTCACCGGTGGTTCCACTGTCGTCACTGGCGGTTCTACTATCGTCAGCCCCACCACCGGCCCCGCTGGCGGCTCGACAACCGACAGTACCGCGGCTGCAGCCACCTCCAGCATTGCTCCCAACCCCGCGACCGTTGGAGGCTTCTCTCTCTTGGGATGCTTCGCCTCGTCCAGCAACTTTCCCACGTTCGTTCTGGCCTTGTCTGACCCGTTGTTGACCCTCGAGAAGTGTACCGCTGCCTGCCCCATCAGCTCTAGACTGGCTGCCCTGTTTGGTACCGACTGCTACTGTGGTGACATCATTGACAACACTCTCACCGTCCTTGTTCCCGAGGACCAGTGCAATACTGTCTGCCCTGGTAACCCTCTTCAGCGCTGCGGTGGTCGCGGTCCTGCCCTCCGCTTGGCCCGCCGCCAGATCCCGACTGACGTCCGTCTTACCGTCTACGTACGTCTCGACGTCTCACCGCCGGTTGTTTCTACTGTTACCAGCATCAGTGTAAGCACCGGCGCCGGTACCACCGCGTCTGTCACCGTCGTCAACACCGTCACCCAACCTGGCACCACCGTTACTGCGCCGCCAGTTCCTACCAGCACTGGCCCCAACATTGCAGGCACCCTCACTCTGCCTCCCGGTCTGTACACGGCTGGCGCTGCCCTGCCTGGTGGTGAGGTTTGCTACGTCGTTACCCGATCCTGGTTCATCGGGCAGACGGCGCTGCTGCCTGCCTTGCCCACAGCTACCGTCTGAATGTGACTTTTCCAGCGCTGAATCATGGAGTCATTAGCATCAGATCTGGTTCACATATTGACCGGGGAGTTCTTTACCACGGCTCATGGGATTGTGTGTGAAATTTGTTCTTACTAGCATGGGGGAAGGGAACAGTTACGACTTGTATGAACTGTACCACTGGGTAATGTGGGAGATAATCTGTATTTTTTTTGTCTTCTTTTGTCGTGGACTTGGTTTAGGATAATAGATTATTAGGACCCCAGTGTTTGATCATGCCACAAATCGTTCATCATGCTCGCGGTACTGCTCCGCACAAGTTCTACAAGTGACTCCTGTAACACGCTGGTGGTCCTTTCCTAGAAGCTGCTCTCCACGCAGTGCCATGGGTCACCGCCATAGCTCAGCTAACCCGTTCATTCAGGGAAATTTCCGCCCTGTCCTCATCGGAGTCCTCATCGGAGTCCTCATCGGGGCGAGGATGCTTCCAACTCCAACCTACAAAGAATTCCCGTGTCTCGAATGAGGTATTTTCTGGAACAGGTTGCCGCTCTTGGGCATCTAGGGATGGCCTCGTCTGGCATGAGACGGAAGAGGATGGATGCCTCCTCGCCTCATTGTCTCGGGTGTTTATTTTGCTGTTGGAGGATGCGGTAATGTGACTTGATATAATAGTTGATCAGCTGGGCCACTCAAAACTTTATTTTGACTCGGTACAGCGTGCGAGAGTCTGGTGTAGTGGAACTTTAGGGGGGACGAGGGTGGGCGAAAGTATATTAATGTTCCTCATCAGAGTGCCTTTGTGTTTTTTCGCCGCCATCATGTTGTTCCATTTGTAATCCACCGAGGCTAGCAAGGAATAGAGAATGGTAATTGAGTCTGATTTTGTGAAGGGTGGGAACTTCCGTGGCTATGGTTGTGCCCCGTCTCCGCCTCTGCAGATGCCTCATGGCTCTACCGTGGTTCGACGCGTGAATCAATCATACAACCAGCGACAACGTGACTTTTATTCTCCTGAATAATATTCAGAGAGTCCTTCACTTTACTCACCACGAACAACGATACTCATTTTGGCAACGGATCACATCATCGCAATTGTGCGCCCATACCGTGGGATATGAGTTCAATCATCGATGAGTAAGGTAGGTCACCATCACTTTTTTTTGACGCTCAGTCAGTATCTGCCGAAAATGCCGTTGTTGACGGACGGTTGCTTGTTGTCTTGGAGACACATTGGGATAAGACCTGCTGACTAGGTGACTGGACAACGACATTCAGCCGTTCAACCGTTATCGGAACACACTACACGGAATACATTCTCACTTGACTTTGATTCACGTATCTGTGTTCTCGACAGCTTGTTCAACAACTTAGGCTTTTCAACGCTGTGTGTTTGTCACTGTTGTCGAATTTATTCTGTTCCGGCGGAGTTATTCGCCCGGTGACTGCCCCGCTTCTCCGATCCGCGACTTCCCCGCTCCGAGTAAGGCCGCCGGGGTGGCGGCCACCGCCACCAATCACCAACAACAATATTCCTCTCAACCCCTTGCATATCATTGCTCAACTCATCCTATCTGTCCAATTCTAGATTATATGCATAAAGTCAAACCCGACTCCGAGACCTGCCAGGCCGGGAGACTATGAGGGTAGAACACTTGACAGCTTTGCCCAGCGTCAAGTCCTCCTCTCTTCCAATCTCCTTGGCAGGTCCATGTCGTATGCGGCAATACGCTGTGCCACTGTCATCCCCGCACGCGCTCCCTGTGCATCACGCGGACATGCGAGTGAGAGGAGTAATGAAGATCTCTGTCGCTACCGTCGCTATTCAGGCCATTCCCGCGTTTCTTTGCTGTCACCTTCCGGTGCCCCAACCAACCATTGGGTTACATTACACATCGGACAAGATCTCTTGATCGGGGTCTGTCACCGTCTTGGCCCTCTTCTTTCAATGCTTCTTCTTCCTTTCTTGGTACGCGAGAAGTCTCCTCTTGATGAAATGCAACTGCGATACAACTCAATGTTCCTGGCCTGTTGATCTGCGTGACGTTGGACCTGCCATTCAACCAGGTTTTGCGTTGAGAGAAGTGATTGTTTCCCGGCATCACATGAAAGCTTGTCCACGGCCCGCGGCATTTGTTCTGTTATAGCGTCTGACAATCCGGTCTTGTAGAAATGGCGATGTACATACGTGAGAAAACGGCCGTTGTTATAAGTGAACGACAGGTTCATCCCCAGCTCAAGGTTCCTGAGCTCTTGCCCTCCTAGCCGGGGACTTTGAGCTCGTATTTCCCATCTATAAGTTCTTAACACGTGCGGCACAAGCTCCCTGGCGACCATGCTCTCCGTACGCTCCCAGTGCCTCCTGGCGATGCTCGCATCAAGCATCGTCAGCGCGGCACCCTACAATACCTTCGACGGGCCAGGCTTTCCCGCCTGCAACGAAGTTACCGCAGTCCACAACGCAACCAGCGTGGATGAAATCCAGTCCCTTGTCAAGGATGCCATCGCCTCCGGCCAGAAGATCCGTGCCTCGGGCAAAGGCCACATGTGGTATGACACAATGTGCTCCGACGACCCGAACACGGTCATCATTCGCACCGAAGACGTCAATGATATCTCCGAGTTCGACCTCGACGCTGGGTCCGTGGTGATCGAGGCCGGCGTGACATTCTTGCAGTTGGCTGAGTATCTTCACGCGAGGGGGGCGTCGGCTGGGTACACGCTCGTGAACTGGAACATCACCCTTGCGGGTTGCGTCGCCATGGGAGCGCATCGGTCTTCGATCCGTGAGGACTCGATGGTTGCTGCCGGCGTGCTTGAATTGGATATTATCGACGGCAACGGGGAACTGAGACATCTCGTGAGGGACAACGATGACGATACGTGGCTCGCTGCTTCGACGTCCCTAGGTCTGTTGGGTGTCATTGTGCGGATGAAGTTCAAGATCTACCCCGACTTCAAGGTCTATGCTCAGCAGAAGACGTGAGTTTCCATCTGGATTGATGTGCCTCGACTGGGCTAACGAATTTGACAAGACTCGAAGAAAGCGAGGTGCTTGACGGCAACATCTATGGCCTGATTGCACCTTATGCAACAGCCAACTTCTGGGTAAGTCCATCTCGCAATCAATCCCTCCCACCCTAAATTACCACGACTCATCGTCATCAGTGGTGGCCGTACAAGCGCAAATTCCACCACCGCTATTACGACGTCGTCCCCACAAACACCAGCGACCAGCAAGGCTTCCAAAACACCTTTTCCGTCACCGACCTTGAGGGCACCACCGCCCGCACCCTCCTCGACAGCGGCCGCTACCTCGCAACCTCCAACTTGCTAGCCGAGGAGATCTTCTTCGGGCTCTGGTCCAAGCCCAACTTCCGCGAGAAGACGACCAACGAGCCCATTGAAGAATGGCCTGTCTATGGCTGGAACTACGACGTGCTCATCGGGGGCTTGTACCCGGACCAGAGGCCCCTGTGGGAGGTTGGCGTCCAGGGGTACACGCTCGAGCTGGCGTTCCCTATCACGCAGGCCAACGCCATGCTGAAGCGCGTGCGGCAGCTGTTTGACGACGAGGCGAAGAAGCTCATCGTCATGACGTCTACGTACCGCAGCGGCATCAATATCAAGTTTGGGCGGCCGTATTTCGATCTCCTGGGCCAGGTCACGTACGGCACCTCTGACGGCGCGGATTGGAGCAAGGGGGTCATTATGCTCGACTTTCCCACCTTTCGACCTACCGTTGGCGACCACAGCAGGTTCAACGAGCCCTTTTGTGAGTGTGGCTGCCAAAAAGAAGGAAAGGGAAAAAAGAAAAAAAGCCTCGGCGTGATTTGTCGATGAATTAAAGTAGACTGACTTTTTGGTTTTATTTCGCACCAGATCACAATCTTGCCAAAGTACTCATTGACGAGTTCCCCTGCCGCCCGCACTGGACCAAGAATACCCGAGAGGTTTTGGCCCAGGCTGCGAAAAACATTGATCCCGATGTGAGTGGATCTATGCCGGGGATGTAGAAGACTAACAACTAATGAGAAAACCGCAGCATATTGCCCGCTTCAAAGCTGTCAGGGAGCAGTTTGACCCGGACGGGGTTTTCAAGAGCGTTGTTGGTGAGGCCATTGGGGTTTACTAGGTCGACTACATGAGAGAAGGATCCGGTTATTTTAGTTTTTACTGTATATCCTTTCACATCCGCCTCTATGACGCAGTGTTACAGAGATCAATGTTCTCAGACGCTCGTCTGAGATGTACGCTGTAAATGACGAGTTTTGTATCAATCCAGCACGTGGATCTTGTCCTCTCTGACGGGGGTGCTCTTGCCATTATAAGTCCTCATAGAATATAGACTCTCCGCACCCTCGTGAGAGGTGGTGCAGACTTGCAAAGGAGGAAATGCCAAGTATGATAAGTTGAATTTGGACAGCCTTTGAAGGAACCTTCTCCCACCAGGAGTGATGGCAGAAGATCGAGGCATCTTGCCCTATACAGCCTGGCATGAGGCGTGAATCACCAGCAGTTCTTTAGTCAATAGAGATTTATCAACCCAGATGTCCAGTAAAACGAGAAATTCCACATTTCTCCAAGACCCTCAAAAGGATGTACTAGACGAGGCCTCATCCTCGGTCCCTCGGAACAGGCCTCAGCTTAACCATCAAAGGCCCCTTCTCCCACGTAATATAATTCCTCTGAACAACCCATGACTCCATACCGGGACACAACTCCAGGTCATAGTGCCACAGTATCTTGGCCAGCAGCAAGCGAAGCTCCAGCCACGCAAGACTGAATAAATCACACGAGGCCATCGTCAGCATGGAAGAAAATAATCCTCATCTCCCGTTCAAGTAACAGTGAAAGTAACAGAGTAAGGAAAGGACGTGATTCGGTAATACTCACTTCTTTCCAAGGCAGTTTCTCGGTCCATACGAAAACGGCTCATATACGTCCCTCTCATCATCCTTCCATTCCGGAGCATCCGCATCGATCCACCGCTCCGGGACAAATTCGGTCGGCCGGGCCCAGTTATCCGGATTCGTGAACGCCGAGTATGGGTTAACAGATACCAGAGTCTGCAATTCGTACTGTAAGCTACACCACTCTGCCAAACCCCACCCAACAATCACCGCATCATAAAATAAGGGCTGGGTAGAGAAAGTAGTCCAGACTCACGCCTTCAGGGAGATACTCCCCGCAAACATTGGCACCACCCCGCGGCACGATCCTCGGCATCCCCGCGCCGCCGGGGTTATACAACCTCAACCCTTCCATCAGCACCGCCGTCAAATACTCCAACCTCACGAGCCCGTCGACGCAGATATCCTCCGTCCTCACAAAAGCACTGCGAATCTCACTCGTCAAGATCTCGTACACCCGCGGGTTCCTCAGCAGATAGTACGTCGTGCCCGACAACACCGTCCCAGAGGTCTCGGTCCCCGCAACCATGAACATGGCCGCATTGGCGTGCATCTCCTTGATCGAAAGTCCACCCCTTCTAGTCTCTTCATTGTCGTCGTGCTTCAGCACGAAACTCCAGATATCCGGCTTTGAATGACCCTTCCCCTCCAGACGCCGATCGACGAGCTGCCCTGCGAAATCGGTATGCTCCTGCGCCTTCTTCTTCAGCGGCGCCGCAGTGACGGCCTGCACGAGGGGACCCAGCACGGGAATCGCAAGAAACACGAGCCCATAAATGACAAACTTGAGCCCCGCAAAGACGTTGCGCACCCAGGGCGTGTAGTCGCCCCTCTTGAGCAGCAGCAGCGGCTCACCAAAGGTCAGGTCGGCCATGATGTCGAACGTGGCAAAGTTGTACAGGTCCACAATGTTTACGCGCGCTCCTCCGTCGTGGTCCCGCTGGCGCTCGCCGAGCGAGCCCATCGCCTCGACCATCTGGTCCGCGTAGCCCGCCAGCAGGGGCTCCTGCGCCTTGAGCGCCGTGTTGGAGAAGGCGGGGGTGAAGATGCGGCGCTGGCGCGTGTGGTCTTCGGGCCGGGTCGTCACGAGGCTGTCGCGGCCAAAGTTTTCGCCGCCGAAGAAGCGGAGGTCTTTTGCCATTTCGGATTTGAGCGGGCGGCCTAGGATGTCTTTCCATGCTTGTGCTAGTGTACCACGCAGGTTATGTGTCAACCGTCGAACAACTTGCGGAAGGGAGGTGGAAGGGGAGGGGGGGGTTCGGGCGGCCTACGTTGAATGTAGGACAGCTCGTTGGGAGCTACCCGAACAGTTCCGGAATACGTCTCATGGATTTCACGCGCCTTGGCGGCGTATCTGCCTCTCAGGAGAGCAATGTTTTTTGGCACCGGGCTGAAACGCCAGAGGAAAGGTCCTGGGTAATGACGAAGCGGATGAAAGCAAACATTGTAGATGCCAAGTACAAAGTACTACAAGTTTTGGATCAGTTTGGGGACCATCTTCAATCACAGATATTCCGAAGACATACATAGGCAATCGTGATTGCAACAAAATATATGGCGATAGGCCCATAACTTAGGGTCGTCATTTTACCAGGTTCTCTTGTGGTCTCAGTTGGGTTCAATCAGTGGAACTCACAGAGGAGTCAAGGTTTGATCAACAGCTTCAAAGTGCTCTGTTGCTGCCATTATTTAGACGTCGCCTGGAACGAATACGAATTCGATGCAATAGATCAAAGCGGCGAACACCACCGTTCGCCTTCTTAGGTGAACTTGAACGTTATTGCGCGAGGGTCCTGCTAAAGTTTGAGGAAGGAGGAGGGGTATGGCATGTAGCTCAGTTGAAACTAAACCGCGTGGTTGGTTTCATGAACCGTTTGCCGGCAATTTTGACGGTCCGTCATCCATTCGCTGCTCAGTTGCCGCGCTGATTGAGACCGCGTTAGGACGAAGGTTACTTCGTATTTTTTGAAAGTAGAGGAAGGCAACGTGACAACGTTGCTTCGTGGATAAACTCAATCTCCTGCACGTGCCTTGCCCACGAGTTAGTCGTGACAGACTCAGGAGAAGAGCGGCATTGCTCCTATTGCTTTGAATTCAGTTGGCTGCCTTGAGATCCTGAGCGAGCTAAATCAATATCATTATAAGGACGTATTCCATGAGAAGGAGCTTCTTAACTGTCAGAGTGTATGTATATGGCACTCGCGAGAATGAGAGGTTCAAAGTCCAGAACCTTGATCAGTCAGCATCCTCGTCACACCAGCTTTATCGATAAGACGTGATTCCGGGCCCCTCCCCCGCCATTCGCAGGTCGCGACTCGCCGTGCATCATTGGGCATCGCATTGCGGCACCTACGTCACGATAAGGTAGCTGCTTCCCCGTCCCTTTACATTCCTCGACCATCTCCCTCGAGCCCCTCCAATCAGTACTCCAACGGTGCCGCATTCCAGCAGTGTTTGAGAGTGAAAAAGAATAGATCAAAAATACCGGCAGTTACAAAACCGCCCCCCCGAAAACCAGAAAAATCATGTCTCCAATTTTGATTGTTGGCGGCACTCGAGGCCTCGGGGCTTCCCTCGTCAAGCAATACGCCGCGGACGAGGGCAACACCGTCTATGGCACCACGCGCTCCGAGGAAGGACCCCAAGGCTTTCCGCAGGCCGTCAAGTGGCTCCCAGGCATCGATCTGTCCGATGAGAAAGTCGGCAAGACCCTTGTCAGTGTGCTTGGTGGTTCGAAGCCATTGTCGACGGTGGTATGTGGTCCTTTCTATGTCGGCCCCTAACCCCACCGAGCGGAGTGTTTTAACCACCCGGAGCAGATTATCACGGCGGGTTACTTTGCGACGGAGGACTTCAGCGCCGAAAAGGGTCTGGATTGGGCCGAAGAGCAGCGCATGTACACGACGAGTTCCATTGCTCCCGTCTTCATCGTCCATGCGCTTGCGCATGCCGGCCTTCTCCAAAGAGAGTCCAAGGTCGTGCTCGTCTCTTCCGAGTCCGGGAGCATCACCCTCCGACATGAGAAGGAGGGCGGCGGCAATTATGCCCATCACGCATCCAAAGCCGCGTTGAACATGGTGGGCAAGCTGCTCAGCCTCGATTTGAAGGAAAAGGGTGTCATTATCAGCATCGTACATCCGGGCTTCATGCGTACAGAGATGACCAAGGGCGTGGGTTTCGACAAGTACTGGGACGACGGCGGCGGTTAGTATTCATACCCTGGAGATCCTCCTGGTTTGGTAAGTTTCATGAAGTCATTGACGTCTGTGTGCCGCAGCCGTCACACCCGACGAAGCTGCTGAGAGTCTCGTCAAGTGGACATCACAGCTCGACATATCCAAGACAGGGGAGTACTGGGCGCCGAGAGGTCCGGGTAAGTGCCGACGAGCGGTGACACCTGCTGGCGGACGAGACACCATTGACTGACATACTCCGTTGTAGGCGACATCGGTACGGCTGAACCGGTTCTTGGCAAAGGGCTCTCAACACCGCTCCAGCTTCCTTGGTGAAAGTCCAGAATGGGTTTGTCGGCACAGGCAAGAGAGCACATTGTAGTCTGCCGATGCCCCCAAGAGACGCTGGACACGGGACAATCAATGTCCAGAATTCGTCCCTACTGCTGCAGACAAGATGATTCCTGCAGGATCTGGACAGGCTTCATGGATGCTGAATCGGATTGAGCGAGCGCGAGAGGATTCGGGCTTGGTAGGGATCGTGACGCGCATATCCATATACCATGCAGTATTTAGAAGGAGCAGGTCTGTTGCCGTCGAATGCTCTCAGTTCGAGTTGGGCTCGGGGTCGGGCTCAGCGGGCATTGGTGGGTTGAAGGGATCAGAGGGCCACTGTGTATCCGCGGAAAGCCGTAAATGAGACGAACGATTTCCCTGATTGTATCCCCGCAACTCCCGAAGGTGGTCAAAGTGGCGGAAGAGGTTCAACAAGAAAGCCGGCCACTTGGCCCAGAAGAGCAGCTGTGAATTGCCAGAATTGGAGATCCGATGATTGTTGCCCATCGTGATCCTTTCATGACAACCCATCCGTAATGGGGACAGACGGGAAGACAGAGTACTATGGTAAGAATCGCGCTGGCTCCCGCTGGGTCTAGAGTAATCTCTTGGAGATCGCCCTTCTACACCACGCAGCCGGCCCCATGCACTCACTCATTCTCTTGTGGAGCAACTATCGCAGCCGTGTTCGTAGTGTGGTTGTGCTTTGCAGATATTAATCAAATTCCCCATGATCGTCTGTTCATAGGTATGAACAAGGCCCAGCGGAAAGATTCTTGGTCCAATGCTTTAGCCCATGAAAGCTCGCTTACGTTTCAGATTGGCGACAAGAGTCCGGGATGACGCTGTCACGCTGTTTCCTAAGTCTTGTTCGACGGAGCACCGTGACGACGGAAGGCGGCTCCCCGATCTAATCAAGAAGCAATGTGAGTAAGATGAAGAAAAAGAAAAACAAGAAGGGGAAAGGGGGGGACGTAGGTCCCAAATGCCAATGTCAAATCTGCGAAACGCTATAGCATTGAGGCGGCAAGGGCAGTTCGAGTGAGGCACAGTTTGGCTTGGCATTTGCAACTATAACGACGACAACAATAACAGAGGTGAATAGGGTCGCTGCTTTTGCGTACAATTCTCAAGTCACCGTATTCCTCCTACGTCTGTTTCCGCGTTCCTAGCTGGGCAAAGTTCAAACCCCCTTCTGGCATGCTAGGAGAGTCGGATTTGGGGGCTGATCGAATCAGATCGCCCGAGGCTGAGATTGGGCGGCGTTTTGTCTCCCTCATCGGGGAGCGCCATCTGCCCGTTTGGTTACCCTGCCCGAGGCTTGGCAAGGCAACACGGCACGCTGCTCTGCGCTGGTTGCTGAGTGAGTGCCCGTGTCGATCTCGTATCTCGCAAACACCACAACGCGATGCTCTTATCGCACTCCGAACAATGCGGGTCCGTTATTGCCAGTCAGCCTCCATTCGTGAGGGAATCCGTAAAGTCTTCAGACTCCCCTTGACGCATTGGCTACAAGAGCAGCGGATGCTTACGCTCGGATGACAGCTGAGATCGAAAGAAGAATTGAATTGTCCGATGGGAGGGTGACTATTGGGCGCCGCTGAGAAGGCCGGGGCCTGCGGGGAGGGGCCAGCGAACGGGCTGAAAGTGTCACGCGTCACGCAGGAGACGGACTCGAGTGCATGCAACGACAATAGACTAAGGACCTGGCTGGCTGGCACTGGCAGTCGCAGCAAGGGGACGGGCGACGCCGAGGCTGATGGCGACGAGCGTAAGCTCTGGAGCCGTGTCTAACACAAGATTTAGGCTGATGGCCTGCCGTTCGAGTTGATGCACCCCATGTTCCCTTAGCGCGGTTGAGGCGACCAGGGGGCCCCAACACGAGGTTGCAATCCAGCGAATTTGGGAGGGCGGGCAACGAACCAGGCCCCTGTGCTACCCTTTGATTCTCGTCATGTCTAGAGAGACTAGGGCCAGGGCCGACGAACAGCTCCATCCCTCATCTTGATCCCAGGTACGAGGAGTAGTGGTGTCACAGCCGGATCGTCGACGTTGTCGTCAAGGACACACGCTCGCAGGCGGACGGGTTCGTCGGGAAGGACGGTGGTTCTTTTCATTACGTATGTGAGCCATTTGGTCAAAGAAAAGAGAGAAACCAAGGAAGAAGAAGCCGAGAGTCCGAGTGGAGGAGCACGCACGGCAGGATTGACAGACAAGTCTGACCCTGGCACTGGCTGATGTCAGGTACAAGCCACAAGTACCTGACAGAAACTGGGCCAAGCCATGGTGTTCGTAGCTCAAAGAAGGCCCGTCGGTTGTAGCCAGTGCGTGCATAAGGTGTGGTTTGGATGGCTCTGACCCGGCGGAAAGGGAATCGACCGAAGCGTTGTCGGCCAGATGGCTCCAGCGTCGACAGCTTGGCTCCTCGTCTGTTCCGGTCCGTCCGTTTTGTTCCCACGCACTCGCTCCGAGAGGGCGGGTGCGTGTCGCAGATGCAAAAGACGCTCATCTATCAATTGTCGTGGCCGTCTTATTCTGCGGAACTCCATCGGAGGCGAGTCTAGGCGCATCATACCCTGTCATACAACCGTGGTCTAGTTTGTTGAATTATCTTGGATTAAAATAATTAGGATTATTAGGGGTCCTGGGGTGTGTCGTCGGCACGTCTCGTCTGCACCCCGGTCAGCCGAGGAACATCACTCCCGCGTTGGTCATTGCTAGTGTTTCCAAGACCCCATGCCGCGATACTTGATCGAGTGTAGAGCGGCAGATATGCAGAGCAGCGATGGCCATCTTTTGTTTGGAAGCTAGCTGATGGATCTGTTATCTGGGTCGAAATTGCAAGATGGAAATGAGAGAGAGAAAAAAGAGTCACGCCGTTAAAGCCCGGTCCAGTCCGAGAGCCATGTTTCCTACGGGAGACGATGGAGCTTGAAGAGAGCTTGCGTCCATGGTCCATGACATTGACAAGGCAAGGAAGGGCCGGGTAGGTCAAGTGAGGTCGAGGTAATGAAGGTCCAATGTATTCGGAGAGGCATGGGGTGCGAGGTTTGGAAAGCTATGCCCGCTCACCGCCCACGATGCAGCCACAGACCCGGGCTGAGGGGACCCCAAGCTGGAGGAGGCGTCTTCCCAGCCAGCCGTATCCGCCGTCTGCTGCGCAGCTCGCCCGCGTCTCGTCTCCTCTCTCTCTTTACAATGTCCAAGAGGGAGATGAGGTGAGTTTACTGAGTAAGGCAGGTAGGTAGGTGCTTTAGATTGAGGTCGAGTGGCTCAGTTACCAGACCCAGACCGGGTCCGGGTCCAGGTCCAGGTCCAGGTCCAGGTCCAGTTCAGGTGCCGCTGGCAGATGAGGGTAATTGGGATGGCATCCATGGATGCCAGAATGGAGAGGAGACGATCGGAACGGATGGAATGCGCGGGGATCGGGAGGGCGTCGTTAGGTTGTTGGGATGTTTCTTGCTACATCGTCCTCGCTCGGTTTCCTTTCCAATTGCCTTTATTTCTCATTCTGTTCTCTTTCCGTTCCAGTCTATTTCTCCCCCCTTCTCTTCCTTTCCTCACCCTCTCTTCCTGCTGGATCCCGAAAGGACTGACTACTACTCCGTACCTCGAAGGAAAGACCAAAAGTCGACTAATACTAATAAATCATCGCTCTTGCCTGCCCCTCCTCAGCTGCTTACCTTTGGCTTCTGCGCCTGCAACTGCACCTGCGCCTGCCGTGTCCCTTCTCTCTTCTTATTACTCGATTATTCCTTCCTTACCGTTTGAAGCTACCGCCCTCTACTTGCTCAACGACTCGTGAGGAGTGTCTACTGCCTCTTGCACCAAGCTTCAAGCCTCGCGCCGCCTCCCTTTGTTCTTTCCTTCAACGGGAGGCACCTTACTCTTCTGCCTCGAAGCGTGGCAGCTTCTCTCTCTCCCCTTACGGTAGACGAGTGGAAGAGTGGACCAGCGGCATTGCTTCTTCCCATTGCCTTGCACCACCGTCGTTTTCTTTTGCGTTCACAGTCTCGAGCTGAACTCGGCTTGTCGTCTTCCTACAACTTTGTTACCAAGCTCGAGCAGCATCTCGTCTCTCGCTTCAACTTCTCGTCCGTTCTCTCATCCACCTTCATCTCGACTCACGATTTCATCCGACGTCGCATCTCATATCCGAAGACCACCCGCTCCGACACCCACACCGCCCGCATTCTCTAAGCATTCGAATACGGCTAGAAGCAGCGACATCACCATATTTCCAGTCCAGCAAAATAGCACCTTCTTTTCCATAGGTCTCGCCTGGTAGTGACACGGTCATCCCGATCAAGGGAATACAGCTCACGCCTAGCGCCAACTATTGACGACTTAGGGTTCAAGAGGGAGAGAAACAAACGAGTTCCAACAACACACCACCGAGACGCCAGCCCATCCTAGTCACCTATTCGTCGGTACCGAGACAAAGTTGACAGCACGGCCGCCTCTGTCTTCACGACGCGACCCCGTTGGGACCTTCGTCCGACTTGACCTGATCAAAGCGACCCAGAAGTTGGGTCAACCCGGGTCCAAGTTGCAGGCGCACCGACTCCGTGTCACACAGCAATACACTGACCTACTTACCTACTATCGACTGTACGAGCTGTCAAACACCATCGCTGATCTCGGCAGCGCTCCGGTTCCTTTCTGGGGTGTCTCAATCGCACAGCTTCAAATACCGAGCATCGACTTATTAATCCGTCAAATCAACCTCTCGAGAAGAGACGACGTGGTTTCGCATCTCTGACAAGGACGTGGATTGAACAAAAAAGAAAAGGACGGAGCCAAGCGAAAAGCAAAGGTAAGCTTGCATTTCCCTTTCTGGCCCACTCTTCAGACAGCTGCTTGGCTCGGTTGTCGCGCGTTCATCCAGTCGTCGGCATCATCCAGCCTTTTCGTTGAGTGCCCAATCCTGTCCAAACCCAAGCAGCCAAACCCCTTCGTCCTCGCTGGTGGTGCGTGGACCCCAGATCCACCAGTCTACCACCAAAATTCCTAGCCAAACCACTCGCTTCCCAGCAGACCAGCAATCTCCCCCTGAATTGGATCCAATCCGATAATCAATTCATCAATCAACCCGCCCTCCCAAACCAATTCATAAACCCAAGGCCCAAGGGAATTTTTTTTTTTTTTTTTTTTTTTTTGGGGGGGCCCCCCCCGCCCCGTCCCCCACCCACCAACCCCTCCCCCCCACACCCCCCCCCCCCACCCCCTTTTCCACCCCCCGGCCCCAAGGGAATTTTTTTTTTTTTTTTTTTTTTTGAGCTGACGACAAATCTAGCAGGAGACAAGGGCAATTTGCACCGCGCCGTGCACTACAAGCCAAACAGACTCGCATTGCCGACTATTATCGAGGATCGTCGATATTACCTTCGCTCGGCCAACTCACCCCTATTTTCTTTTTCTGCTCCCACCCACCCATCATCGGTACCTTTCTACCACGGTACTTTGCGACCCACGTCTTCCCAGTTCGACTCCGGATCCCGACCGCCATCTACTGCAGCTTGCTTGCCCGCATACACACCGCGCGCACCGCACCGCACCGCACAGTGACCTGCCGAGGAACCGTCGGGTGGCTCTTCCCCAAACCCGTTCCCCCCGTTGTTGTTTGGTGTCCCTGCAGAGGGCATGACGCTAGGAACGGCCATTTAATAGCCAAAGAAAATCAAGCTTGCTAGCAACGTCTGCCGCTCTCTTCAATCGGTCGGACAGCTCCCCTTTTTTGCGGAAGGAAAGGCCGATCCCTTGATTTTCAATACGACGCGCCTGTCCATCATCATTATCCAAATTCCCATCCGGCCATCCCTCCCGTCGCGGGTACCACACCATCCCACACGGTACACCTCACGAACTACAGCCAAAATGTCAAAGGCACAATCAGCACAGCCAGGTAAGCCAAGAATCAAACACACTGATATGGATGTAGGGGATGGATGTGCACCGGCATGTCCTATCCTACCCAACATTCATCCCTCCTCCCACCCACCCCTTTCAATGCCTGCCACCATCTTCCCGGATTTCCCCCCTTTGACTTTTGCCCTGTCCAACGGGAAGAGAGCCGCCCTTTCTCACGGAGTGCACTGCCGCCCAAGCAAACGCAAGCACCGCGCCCGCTCCACCCAGTTGTTGAACCTGCTGTGTCATGTATACCGCCTTCATGTTTCATATCCCTTCCCCCCTCGTCGTCATTCGCATGCACGGAGCCGTCGCTGTCTCTCCTCTTATCGAGTGCTAACTTTACTTCCTTGGAATAGGCCATCAACCTAGCAAGTCTGCTGGCGCTGGCTTAACGTTTAATCTCTCATCCAACAACCCCTTTCGCAACCGCGCTGCCTCCCCACTCCTCTCCGACGCTACCTATAGCAATACCACTTCGCCCGCTTCGCCTTTTGACGACCCTCCTCGACCTGCCTCGCGCAATCCATTCCTCGATCCATCATATTCGTCTAGTCAACCAAATCTGACCGGAGCAGGCACTATGGCACCGTCGCTGGACAACAAGGCGTCGCCTACCGCCGAGGAGCTGTTTGTACGTGGCCCCGATCAATCAATTGATGCAGCCCAGATCTATCCCTCGGTCGCCAGCCAAGTTGTTTGCCGCGCGTATCACTGAGGGTGTGGGTTACTGACTTTTCACCGCACAGGATGGTCTTACCATTAATGATCAGAAGCAATCCCGACCCGACGGAGGACGACCCCCGACGAACCGCCCTCCTGGCGCGCCTGGACGCGAAAATGTGCCCCCTGGAGGCCGTCGCGGCCCTCCGCCACCCGGACACCGTCCATCGAGATCTCAGGAGGAGGCAATGAGACAGCGACGTCTCCAGGGCAGTGGTGGTCCTACCCGACCTGGTGGAGCACCGGGATCGCCCCAACGTCGACCCCAGGAACGCCGCCCGCGTAGAAACTCTGAGTCGTCCGTCCTGATTGATTTCGAAAAGTCTCCTACCGACGAAGAGAGGAAGGCCAAAGAAGCCAGACGTCGGGAGAGGGAGCGTCGCGCCCGGGAAGGAAAGGATCAGGACCCGAAGAAACCCAGTCGCAGAATCGATATTATCGATCAATTAGATGCCACTAGCATCTACGGCACCGGATGTGAGCAAACCATCCCCCTTTGGAAGGAATCCCTAAGGCTAATGTCATCATGTAGTGTTCCATCACGATGGCCCATTCGACGCAGCCAACCCCTCTCGCAACCGAAAGGGTAGCCGACGTGCACCGATGCAAGCCTTTGCCAAGGACTCCCTCAACATGTCTCTTGGCGGCTCCGGTCCCCTCAACAAGCGCCCTGACCACGCTACTTTCATGGGTCACAACGATGGCGAGGCATCTGCAGACTTCGCAACCGCTGCAAAACTTGCTGAGCGAAAGGATAATCCTGCTGTTTTCGACCCCCGAGCTCGTGGTTCGATCGTTTACGGAGAGGAATCCATGGGACTCGGGGCCTCCACCTTCCTGGAGGGCACCCCTGCTGCTCGTGCTGCCATCCAGCGGACTCAGGCTGAGCAAGCCCAACAGTCAAACTCTGAGGGTCTCGGGCGCAGCAAGTCCATCGCCCAGCGCATTCGTGGCATGAAGCGGGAGCCTCGCGAATATGGTCCTTCTGGTCGAATCACCAATCCTGAGGGGGCTTACACCTCTCGCCGATCGCCTGATGCCAATGGGCCTGCCAGTAGCATTTCGTACACAGGCGAGCGTAACCCCTTCTTTTCTGAGTATGGCAAGGAGCCAGAGACGATCTCCGTCAAGCGAGCCGACAATAGGTCGCCTGGTGCGCCTCCACCAGTGCCCCGACGAGGCTCTGCTAATGGCCTCGAGCGTCGTGCTACAGCTGACGTCGTGTCACCGACAGAGGACGGACCCAGCAAGCCTTCTGGAGGCTTCATGGCCAGGGTCAAGAGTCTGAAGGGTGGCCGAAGACGCCAGGCTTCTGATGCGATGGCACCGCCTCCTGCGCCTGGGACTGCCGCCTAGTGGTCACGCAGAACTTAGGAAGCTGGATATGAGTGCATCGAGCCAAAGACATGGACATATGAACACAAATGCAAACGCATACGGAGGAGACGGTCCCTGTTCCTTAACAAACGCCTCACAACGAGGCGATCAGTTTCAACAAAGAGTAAGGGTGCAGCCCATGCATCCCAGCGATGTGAAGTTGCTTGAACCAATCAGGTTACAATGGGACCACATTGGGCTATGGATCCGCTAGAGCAATGGGCCTTCCCAATATCGAATTCTGGATCATTCGTGGAGGGAGTCAATACGGTTGGGTCTCGAATTGGGTTAGGTGGCTCTTGGAGAAGCCATCAGAACGAGAATTACGAGTGTCAGGGCGGAGCGGTCGCACATGCGCGTCTGGATTTTCACACCACCCGACAAGTGATACCTTTCTCGTGAATAATCATATTTCTTTGGGAGGAAACAAGCCTCCTTTTCTGCCTCTTTTACTACAAATACTCCAGGGCCGACAGAAGGCACTTTACACAAAGGGGAGGCATAGAGCAGGCAACCAACAGTCCGTCGGCAGATTGTTACGAATTAGCTTTATTGAAAATAGAGAACATTGAGCCTCATGGGACCATGATGCCAAATCGCATCTCATCCAGACCTGTGAAAACATCTTCGTACCATGTGCATAGCTTTTTTGGAACATGGGATCAGATAATGAAACCAGCGAGAACGAAATGAATGACTAGGTCCCCTGGCAAGATATCACACTGGCGAGGTCCGGATAGGTTGTGTTGAAGCACGGCATGCATAGGCGACAATTATGCAATGCCAAAGGGATGATGTCATTGAGGTGGCTGATAAGGCTTGTCCAATGTGCCTGTTGGGCCTAGGTAATAAAGCGCCGACACCTGATCGAGATTCTGGCGGAGATTATACTTCAGCTCACCTAGAGCTCGGAATTTTGTATGCACCTGTCACCAGCTGTCAGGTGACTTGTCGATACCTTCCAGTCTACCATTTCAGCCATCACCAAGGGCATCATCGTTCAAGCTCAGAAAATGGAGGCTGAACCAACGAAGAACAAGATGACTATGACTTGGGAATGACATACCTCGGTTTCTTCATTAGTCTTATTCCAGAACAGCCAGGGCAACGGTGAGCCCGGGTACGTACCGTGGGGTTGCAATACCAATGCAGCAGGAACACTTCATAGCAGGCGACGACGAGGTGCCCCCCGGCGCGTCACAGGCGAGCTCGCATTTCCCTCTTGAGCCGGTTTCCGCGGCTGTCCTCTGCAGTCGGGAGACGAAGCGCAGAGATGCGGCGGTGGCGAGCGGGAGCGTGAGAGTTGGGAGCCGTGAGGTTGATGAGGGGGTCCTCGTTGGCGGGTTAGAAAGGGGGAGCGTTGTCGGGCTCAGTTCTGAGAGTGAGCTGATGGGGCTTTTGGTGAGTTTTCATGACATGTCTGTCCCTTCCCTCGCCAGCATAAATTGTCTTTTTGTTTTTTCTTTTCCTTTTTTAAAATTTCGCGGTGAGAGTTCAATCGAGGTTGAAGATTGATTGCCCTAACTCTTGTTCAGATCTCGATGCAGGCACTGGCGAATACGCTATGCGGCGAAGATGCCGAGGGTAATAAGGAGAAGAAGAAGAAGAAGAATGCCAGAGTAATGGTCGTCACGACACAGCCTCCCGCCGCTATCCTCCCGCCGCTGAGGGACGCCATCAGAACGGAGCTCAAGGTGCGCGGCACCGCTGAGGCGGACGTGGTCACGAGGTTGAGACATTGCCTGGAGAGGGTCTCTATATCTAGGGTCTTTGATCTCGAGGGGTTGTGGCAAACCCTCGGCGACTTGGACATTCCACCCGAGAGTCCTGACCCGCTGGTCTCCCCAGTTCCCCCCGTCTGTTCGATCTTAGAGCCGCGAGTGGAGAAGGAGGATGAGAGGGCCGTGGAAGTGCCGATGGACGAGAAAGTCTCTGATGATGCGGCTGGTTTGTCGAACAGGAAGACTGCAACGCCAGAGCAGCAGCAGCAGCAGCAGCAGCCTGAGAGGATTGTGTTGCCGGAACTCAAACCGCGGCCTCAGCCGACCAAGTCTACGAGGACAGAGATCGCTGACAGTGACGACGATGACGACGCCTATTCGCTGCCGTCTTCGTCGTCTTCGTTGTCACCGCCGCCTTCGACGATTCGGTCTCCGACGCCGTTCATGGCCGTAGTTTCTCCCGAGAAAGCGACTGACGAGGAAGACCCTGGGAGTTCAGCCAGGGACCTAGCCAATGACCCGGAGGAGACAACAGAAGAAGGCACAGAGGGGCTTTACGAGGACATCAAGGACGGACCGCCTGGAGACGAGATCCCCGACGCGGTGCCAGTGGCAGCGCCGGAGAGCAAAGATGCAGAAGACGAGTCGAAAGGACCGCCCTTGCCGGATATCATTCTTGTCACTCACTTTCACAGCCTCATGACGGCCCTGTTCACCCGTCGCGACCGTCAATCCGCGCATAGCTCGCTCCAATATCTCTCCTCCCACCTTCGATATCTATCCAGGAATCTGGAGACCAGCCCGCTGATTATGCTGCTCAACAGCACGAGCTCTTCCAAAGAGCCTTTGCCATCCAAGCCCTCGAATGCCAAAGGTGGCCCTCCGACGCCGAATGGAGGAGACACCAGCAGCAAAGCACTCGACCCGACTCTCCGATCAATCTTCAACCCACCTGCCCTGAACATCACGGGCTACGGCTACGGCGGCAACCAAGCGGCGTCGAGACGGAACAAGCCCACTTTTGGACTGGTCTTTTCGCAGCTGCTTGACCTGCACCTGCTCTGCACCAAGGTCCCGAGGGACAAGGAGGATGCCGAGAGGCTGTATGCTGCGGCACCCGGTGACGGAGGAGAGGGCGACGACGGCACGGCAGTGAGGTTCGTCTGGGTTGTGGAGGTCCTTCTCGATGAGATTGGTGTTTGGGAGGAGACGAAGAGCCTTGGCCCGGGAGAGGAAACGGGAGGGAGAAGGAGAGGCCCCAGGAAGAGCAGGGAGCAGAGATGGGGCACCGTTGATGTCAAAGGTGGGCGGGTTGTTGATGCGTTTGAGGCGGTGGAGAGGAAGGTCGGGGAGATCAGGGTCGTTGGCGGGTTTGGAGGCCCGAGGGTGTGAGTTGGGCCCTTGGAGTGCGCGACTGATTCTCATCGGAATCGACGTGGACTTTGACGTCTTTCGGATGTGGGAGGGAGTCATGACCAAACCCGGCTGCCTGCGGGTACCTAGTTTGACCCGGGGTGCCATCACAGTGGATTGAATCCATTACGCCTGGGCGGGAGGGTCATTCTCTTGGTGTATCTCGTCGTCGACACAGCTGACGGCACCTTGTTGTCCTACACAAACCGCCAAGACACAACGTCTCGGCCTTCTTAACCAGTCAAGTCACCAGATGGACATGAAAGTTTTGGGAGAGATGTGGGACAGCCTGCAGTGCAAGTCATCACATTTGCGGACCCTGATGGCCCGCCGCGATGCTGCTCCCGGGGAACCTCTCTGTCTCCATCCACGAGTCAACATCAGCAGAGCTCGGACATCAGCGCCCACCTGTGTATGTGTCTCATCAGGGTCGCGATGTCTCAGACCCTCTCTTTATTGAAGAATTACTCATTCTTATTTATATACATAAGCTGTGATTCACAGGAGACTACTTCCCCCATGGGGCGTCGAATACAAATCTGTTTCCACCCTTCCACCTCTCTTCGTCGGATCCTCTCTGACAAGCTGATACGTCACGTTCACTCGTCATCATTGCCGTTGCAGACTACATTGCGACCCGATACCGAAGACCTCGAGGTTATGAAGTCGGGTCACCTGTTACCATTCGCGGCTGCCGCTGCTTCGGCTCTCGCTCTGCCTGATAGTATACCGGAGCAGTCGACATTACGGATCCAGAATGTGAGCTGGAAAAATTCGGACTGGGATAAAGTGCGCACATGGGGTGATGATCGGTCGTCACTCGGGGAGGTGGTTGGCGCAGTCGGCGGGATATTTTCCCAAGCTGCCGGGGCCATGGCCCGGGCTGGAAGACGAGTGATGGGGCATGCCCACGATGCCGAGGATATCGAGACTGCTCTTGTTGTACCGGCTCTACAGCACACAACAGAAGACGACTTGAAGCCGATCCAAGAAGATGGCAATGGCGGTGTATCAGACAAGGAAGGCAAGAGTCTCCTGACGGTGATCAAGGAAAGCAGCATCCAAGCTGAATATTTCACGACACTCCTCGACTCATACGACAAAGTCCGCGAGATGCTTGTTGGCAACAACAAGCAGGGGCAAGCTGAACACCTACAATTCACGGTCTTTGTACCCACGGACGAGGCTTTTCGGAAGCTGGAAGGGTTCGAACGGAGCCGCGCGGAGCTGCTGGGCGAGATTCTCGAGTACCATGTTCTTCCAGGGAGGTATACTGCCGAGGATCTCCGTGGGATGCGGACGGCGCCGACAGTTCTCGAACAAGGTGGAGAGTTGGGCGAGGCGGTGGTGGGTGGCGACCGGCGGCGGCGCCAGAGGGTGAGGATCGCGGACGGGCCTGGGGGGGTTGAGGTGAACTTTTACGGCATGGTCCTTGCTTCCGAATCTGTAAGTGCCTTTTATTCCTCCCTCCTAGTTCATTCACACAGTGTGCCCTGTACTAGAAACGAAAGGTGCTGAGACACGTTGTGAAAACCAGAGGGAAAGCAGGAATGGTGTCGTTCACTTTATCGACAACGTCTTGATTGCGCCGCCGCGGCACGACGTCCTCGTTGACGCGCTGCCGGAGGATAGGCTGGGGAACTTTTCGCGGGCGATGAGACGGAGCGGCCTGAGCGAGGAGCTGTACCGCTGGCGAGCAGTAGCGGCAGAAGGAGAAGAACCTGGACGAGGACTCACGGTATTCGCGCCATCAAACGATGCGTGGGCTAAGCTGGGCGAGGAAGCCTTGGAGTTCTTCTTTTCCTCCCGTGATGGGGAGGCGTTTCTGAAGGCTTTGGTGAGGTATCATTTTGTCGCGGAGGTACTGTACACGGACTCTTTCGACGTCGAGCAGGAAGAGAAGAAGATGAAGAAGAAGCAGAAGGGGAAGGAGGGAAATGAAGGCGGAGAGGACGACATGGGAGTGGGGCGGGTGCGACGGGAGGTTCGGACTCTGCTCGACGGAGCAAGGGTCTCGGTCTCGATCTCGGTCGGGGCTGCAACTACTGCCACGGGCGGGCGGCCGCCGCTGCTTGGGGGGACGGCGGCGGCGGCGGAGGTGAGGGTGAATGGGGCGGTGGTATCAACGAGAGACGTGCCGGTCAGGGATGGTGTCGTGCACATCTTGGACGAAGTTCTCCTCCCATCGCCGCCGTCGCCGTCATCACCGTTGTCCAAGGAAACTGATATTACCGCAAAGAAGAGTAGCGGCGGCGGGGCGAGGATCGGGGTAGGGGAGCTCAAGAGGCGGCTGGTCCGCTTTGTGGAGGCGGGAGAGGGTGCGCGGGACGAAGAGTTGTAGGGATGTTATCACGTTCCAAAAAAAAAAAAAAAGATACCTTGCCGATGTAGGTTTTTATTTACAGCTCAACTCTGTTTCTGTTGAATCAAGCACGCTAGGATGATTTGCACATAGTCGAAACTTTAAGAACACAGATCCAGGCATCTCGAGCACGGCCTCGCTGCGCCTTTTCGCTATTATACTACCGATGCGGACAACGAGGATTGAGAAAATAAAAAAAGATAAGTTCTGTACGTACTTTAACCTAATTGATCTACCGCGTTACTTCTGAAGAAGTGAAGACGAAACTTTATTTTACGTCGTTGCCGAACTCTGATCGAGCGAGCCTACCCAGGGTGCCAAGACGACCGTAGTTTGCTGCGATGCATCTCCTTGAGGTTCGCAATGTTCTCAGCGGACGTCGTATGTGTTGACGACATTGACTGCCGCGCGACGGATGGCCTTGGTGAGCTCTGGCTCCTCGGCTGTCATCACACCCCGGTTCCTAGACCAGGTGTACACGGAAGGGTGGCCGAGTTGGTTATGGCGCCAGGTTAAGGTCAGCTTAACATCTGTTTCCTGGTGGGGCAACCCGCGCGAGTTCGAGTCTCGTCCCTTTCAATTTTCTTTTTGTTCCATCGTCAGATGTCACCTTTTTGCTACCCACCCACTCACTCACTGACTTCGTATCCGGCGGGATAGAAAGCGGGGGTGGGCAAAGCGAACGAGAAGGGTTTAACTATTTAAGTGCGCGCATACGAGTCCCGTAAAGAAAGAACCCTGGGAGGGAGACCCAACGAGTGGGGATTTGTTTCTCTTGAGGGGACCACAAACTTTGTGCCAAGATGCGGGTGAAGAAGAATACGGATGCAGGTCTGGAAATGGAAACTAGACTCTGATCATGATATAGCGCGACTGCTTGGTGAAGACTACCTTACTTTACTCAAGGCGCCGGAGTACGAGACAGCTTGCTAGCAGACCGCTAGACCTGTCGTCTAGAGTTTGACAGTCGTCCGGCGGTGAAGATAGGGTCTTCTTTGGTCAGGCGTTGGCCGGTTTGCGTCTCCCGCCGCCTCCTGCAGCTAACACTTGGGACACCAACCTAATTAATCAGCTTGTGCGGAGATTGGAGAAAAGTCGAATACTAGGCCTCTTATCTGCACGATGATAGAAACACTCGGAGATGATGACAATGCTAGCTCGACACAACAAGCAGGTTTCACAGTCCGGGGGGAGAATCATCAAGGAGACTTGCAGCATCCAAGGCAAGAGAGAGAACAAGGTCAGATTACTTGGAGAGTACAGACTACGGATAAGGTATCTACCATCCGTAGTCCGTATGGTAGGGTAAGCTCGGATTCCAGGCTTCTGGAGCAGTGAAGACTGAGGTGGAGAGCAACGTCCAACGTCCCCTGCAGCCCAGCCACTGAAAAAGTGCCCCTGTCCCGAGGTATTTGAACCTGAGGTGGCATCGCTGCGTCGGCAGGAAAGTCGGGTGCCACTGCATGTGGGGACCCACTGCCGACGGGTGGAACCCGGGTGGAACCAACCCTCCGGCTGGTGTTCCTGTTGCGCAAAGTGTCACTCTCTCATTGCCAGACACAGGTGCGAGCCAGAGGAAAGCAGTCCCAAGTGGGCGATGCGTGGTGTTAGGCAGTACTTCTTCTCGATGTTTAGGTTGGGAGATGGATGATGCAGGACAGCTGTACTGCAGGATACGTACTCTTTCTGTCATCTGAAATTCGTCTGCTGGTTGGTGGTACAAAATGAACATGGGATGAACTGCAACCACGCGCAAAACAGGAAAACCTCTGGTGTTTTCCCAAGATAATGCCTCTCTCTCCTGCTCTCTTTTTTCTCTCTATCTAAAACAACGATATCCGTATCCTTTCCCACTTGTTCCTACGAACCTTCAAAAGGTAAGTCTTCCCTGCTTGTTCCTATTCTGGCTCTGGTTCCTGCATCCGGGGCGCTACGGGGCCTAGCGCCCGTCAGGGTCCCCCGGGGGTTTCCAGGGTTTTCGGTGGGGTTTTCGGTGGCTGGGAGGGCAACGCCGTTCCTTCCCAACCTCCGACCTGCAACACCATGGCAAACCGCGCCGCAGCCAACGACCGGCACAATCGCCAGTCACAACTCCTGATGATGAACCCCCCCCGTCCGTCCCAACCACGCATTTTCACCAAACAGCAAAAACCTCAACACCACCCACCCACACGCACACCCAACCGCGATGCACAGCCTTTCTCTTTCTCTCTTCCCCCCCTCCTCCTCTTCCTCACGTTGCAATATTCGCATGCACCCAGTCCTTTGCAGACATCTCCGCCCTCAATCTCATTGGTAATTGGCTCCGTTCCAAGTGGAGGCTCATCGCGCCGCATCAGCTAGATTCTCACGCTTCCTCGACGACAACGACGAACCCATGAAAAAAGATGAGAGGCGAAGGCGCAATGTATGCTGATAACGCCCATCCCGGCGACGCCTTCGTGCAACATCAACGTACGTCTACACCCTATATCGCAACTTGATCTTCTTTCCCTACTCCTTCACCCATATACACACATGTTACTCCTTTCCTCTCTTCTTCATCATCGTCAGCTTTGTTTACTTCTCCTTCACACCCTCATTATTCCCGCCCCTCCAACTCACGACAACCCTGTCCTTCCGCCTCTTACTCTTGGTGCTAACCGCCTGGTTGTAGGCGGCCAATATCCTCCTCAGTATTGGTCTGCTGCGACACCATCACAACACTCATCCACACCAAACACCCTCCGCCCTCACCACGCAAGACAACATCATGCAGCACACGGCATAGAGAGAGAAGAAGAAGACTCCAGCCCCCAGGAGCCCCTCTCTCCGCCGTCGTCTTTCGTACCCCACGCTCCCTCACCACCTTCCCAGCAACTTCACCCGAACCACTATCATCCGGAGCAGAACAGCTTCCCCGCCCCCGTCGTTATCGGCAGCATGTTCTCCTCCCAGGCTCAAGACCCTTACACCTCCCAGCCGGCGGTCCACTTCAATGAGGCCCAGCTCGCCGTCGACGAGGTCACAAACCGCGCCCGCGCCAAGGGTTTCCGCGACGAGCTCACCATCGCCGCCAACGGCTCCGTCACACCCGGCGTCGACGACACCCCCTACCTCCGCTATGCCTTGGAGGCCCTCACGAGGGAGCACGGTCATGGCAGCTTCTCTCCCCCGTCCAGCGCCCCCTCTCCGGCCGACAACACGGGCTACTACCGCGCTGCCGGGTATCTCCCGGACGACCTCCAGAGCCCTCTCATCAGCGGTGACCCCGAATCCGGCTTTTCACCCATGGTCCCCGTCCCTACTCACACGCGGGACTCGGTCCGACGCCAGTCTCGGCCCCAGTCTAACGCCGGTGGCGAGAGGCCTTCCATGTCCCTGGGCACCCGCATCATCTCCATGTCGCCGCCGCACTCTGCAGACTCAAGGTATCACCACAACCAGGATCAGAACCCGGCCGGCGCCGGCGCAGCCGCCTCCGAAACCACGCCGAAATGGCTCCCCATCAGCGAGAGGGAGAGCGTCTTCCCAGGCATGACGAAGCTCGACACCATCGACGAGGACCGCTCAAAGTTCCCCCGCCTCAACTTCGTGCCCACGATCCTGCGTCTCCCCTCACTCATCGCGCTTATGACGCTATGCCTCGTCATAATCGCCTGTCTCATGGTCGCCGCTATCTACTCGCCGATCCAGCCTGGCCTGCTGACCTACGGCGAGACCATCTACAGTGGCAAATACTTCTTGTTCCGCATCCTGCCCCAGCTCTTCGCCTCCTTCATCTTTATCTACGCGCAGTGCGTCACGACAGCCACGCTTCGAATCCTCCCATTCGTCGCGCTCTCCGAAGACGAACCCCTGCGGCGCCGCAACGCCCTCTTCCAAGACCTCTACCAAAGGACCTTCCTGCTCCCCCAGCTCGCCGGGCCCATCCACGTCAAGATCGCCCTGGCCATCCTCTGGCTGTCGGCCTTCGCCATCCCCCTCGCCAGCGCCTCCTTCACCGTAATCCTCGTCGACGTCTGGTACTGGACCGCCGTCCAGGGCGTCGTCTGGACGCTCCTGGCCCTCTACTTCCTCGTCATCGGCGCCGTTGTAGTCCTTCTGCTCTTCTGGCACAACCGCGTGACGGGCCTCATGTGGGACCCGCGCTCCATCGCCGACCTCTCCGTCATGATTAGCAGAAGCAACACCCGCGACTCCTACCGCGGCGCAGAGGTCGCCCCCACCCGCGGCTCGCTCCGCCGCGTCCTGCGCAACCGCATCGTCGACCGCCTCGGCTACTGGATGACGGATAACGAAGAAATGCCCTGGTACGGCCTCGGCACAGAGCACTCGCAGGGCCACACCCCCTCCGACCTCCACTATGACATCAAGAACGAGTCCTCCTCCGCCGACGACCGCCGCTCCGTCACCTCTACCCTCCTCGCCGCCGGCGGCAGCCACGACGACTACATCCGCACCTACATCCTCCCCTGGTGCCTCCGCACAAGCCAGGTACTCCTCTTCGTCACCGCCGCCACCGTCCTCCTGACAGCCCTCTTCGTCGTCTCCTTCCTCCATCGCACAAGCCTCATCGACGGCTTCCGCCCGGGCGTCCCCGCAGGTCCCTCCGCCCCGGGCTCCTTCTCCGCCGCAAACTTCCTCTACAGCTTCGTCCCCAGCTTCATTGGCCTGCTCCTCTACCTCGCCTTCCAGACCCTCGAGCAGCAAATCCGCATCCTCCAGCCCTGGGCCGACCTAAACACCAAAGACGGCGCCCCCGCCTCTCGCTCCGTCCTCGCAGACTACGCCGCCTGCTTACCTCTCCAATCCACCCTCCACGCCCTCCGCAACAACCACTGGCGCGTCGCCGCCCTCTCCCTCCTCTCCCTCCTCCTCGCCTTCCTCCCCGCCCTCGCCGGCGGCCTCTTCATGGCCCTCACCGCCATCCGCCCCTCCGACAGCGGCGTCCGCATGTTCCCCAACGTCCCCGTCTTTGGCGTCATCCTCGCCCTCTTGGTCCTCTACCTCTTCGCCTTGGTCTCTCTTCTCTTTGGCCGGAACCAGTACCGCCTCCCGCACGCCGTCACCTGCCCCGCCGAAATCTTCTCCTTCCTCGCCAACGAGGACAACGCGACGGACCCGGCGTTCCAGGCCGCGCCCCGCTCCGGGGAGAAGCTGCGCGTATATCTCGGTGCCGGCGGGCCCGGCTCGTCGAGGAGCGCGGTGGCGACGCAGAGCACGTGGATGTTTGGGTACTTGCGCGGTCGCGATGATAGGCGGCTGGGCGTGAGGAGGCAGAAGCGGTTTACTGGTGAGGGCAAGTCGTCGTTTCATGAGAGGGCGCCTTCACGCCGGTCCATGATGTGAAAACGATTTTGATGGACACAATCTTAACCCCTCTCACCCTCACCCTCACCCTCACCTCCGCTCCCCCGTCGACCACCCCTGAGTGGGATCAGAGGACGAGAGGCTGGGGAGTGATGAAATGTCACGATCTAATGATGCCGAAACCCCCGATATTTAGAGGCACTTTTTTTCCCCCCCAGCATCCGATTGTACTTCCAAGCAGTTGGGGGCGAAAAAGACTTGTTCTCTCTGATTTCCAATCTTGGGTTTTTTTTATTTCTTTTAACTCTTTATTCATGTATCGGCGTTTACTGGCATTTCATGGGTCATATTTAAGGCAAACTCATTGTATTGGCAAGGCGTTTTATAGGGGCGGCATATCACGAGTTTTCAAGATGAAGAAAAAAGACAAAGAGACAGAGAGAGGGAGAAATTTTACGATATGAGTGTACGGGCACGATTTCCACGGTAGTCATGATAGAAATGTTTTACGCATCAAAACGCATTAATGTTTATCCCAACTATACCTTCTCATCTCCCATCCCCTTTCTTCATCCAACTCTATCCTACGTCGTCTGATCTTACGGGGGAATTGAAAATGCCTCTAGCAATCGGGGTTTTTCGGATTTGACATTATTGAAAGAGTAAGGGAAGGGAGAATCCCGCGAATCTAGAACGTCAGAACAGGTAGCTCTGAAAGGTTTTTTTCTTTTTGGTGTGTGGAATGATTCTGACATCCGATGGAACTGGAATCCCAAATCCTTTTACACAAATACTCGCGCGACTGTTGGGAGAGTGTTTTGCCAAGACCTCCCTCCTTTCTCAAAAACCTCGTTATGTCTCTCTCGCTTGCTGGCTTACTCGCTTACTCGCCTGCTCCCCTCGCCCCATTGTCCAGACGAAGCGAAGCGAGCCCACCTCCGCCTCCCTCTCCTTCTCCGGCTTACACGCGTGAGAATGGCAACGAGCTTGTGCGTGTGTGTGTGTGTGTACATGTGTCTCTCCTCCCTCTGCATGTCAACCAGCGCGCATTGCTCCAGCAACTCGGGGTCTAGATCCTTCACGTGGGAAAATTTTACAGCAGGTTCAGCAAGACCCGACAAGAGGGAAGGGGAAAGGGGGGGGGGGGGGGGGGGGGGGAGAGCGCCCCCACCTTGTGCTATCCCCCCCCCCCCCACCCCCGCCCCCGCCCCCCCCCACGCACACGGTTTGTGCATAGATGTTCCGTAGACAAACAGTGTCTCACCTCTGTCACACAACGGCTCAGAGAGGAGGAGGTGGGGAGGGGGGGGGGGGAGGGGGATGAACTGGCCACGAACATGTTATACTCCAAAGCCCCCCAAAGAGTTCTGCTTTAGTACAAGTCTAGACCGAGGAGGAGGGGGAGAGAAACCTCCCATCGTCATTTTACG